ATATGAATACAGGTTATCATTTGTCTTAGATATTAAATGGCTAGGAGAAAATGATATGTTTGAAATGTGTATGGATTAGCTTAATATGATTTAATGACAATTTTAAGGAAGCATAATACATTTTATTATTATAGCTAATTCCTTTTAATATCCTTATAGTATGAATCATATTGTTTTTTAAAAAGCACACACGTTAATTTTCTTCATGAGAAATACATAGAAGTTGAAGAAATACAATCCTTATGGTAAGGGTTACAAAAATGTACTTCTCCTTTATAAGGCACTTTATAGCATTAGGATCTTTAAAATTTAATATATCTGACAAAATTTTATTATAGAAAATGGGTATTGAAATGCAATTTCAGATAAAGAAAATCTTATCACTTGATTTAATCACTTAGTTAAAACTGTAGTTTGAATAAAATGAGAATAAAATTTATGCACAAATTTATTACAGGACAATTTCCACAGGAAAGAACTATAGGAAAGTGGAGAGAGTATTACCTATTACATATCTGTGAAACAAAATATTAGAGTGCCATCACATAGTCATTGAAAATGGTGTCTTTTCAAAGTTGATGAGCTTCTTGTTGGACATTTACATAGATTCTTAATCTTATATGTATGTGTGCCTATGTAAGATGAGCAGAGCTAAGGAAGGAGGCAATGAAAATAGATATCGCCAAATCAAAATAGAGAAGATAGGTTCCTAATTAATTCAATTATGCCCTACATACAAATAAGCAAGTAAACTAAACTAAAAGTAACCAACTGAACCTGGTAATACTTATTATGCCATTGTTATTTCCAAAACACATAAATCATTTATTGTTTAAATATAAAATAATAGAAAAACATTTTCATTGGTTTTACTAAAATAAGTTTAAATTTCACTAACAATAATCAAACTATATAGTAAAAGCTAAAATATATCCCTATATCTCTTATAGACTTTTTGTTCATTTATATGGGTAAAGTTTAATGGAAAAATTTCCAAAGCTGACTTTAGATATACTTTCAAGTTCTTTCAAAAGTGAAACATTTTAAATATAGTTACTAGTATTTCATCAGTTGCATGATCTTTGTCCTTAAAGTCTTATATGCTCTCCAATCTATACTAATAACAGGGTGACATGCAAATTAACCTTCACTCCATGACAAAGATGGCGGTGCCCATAGCTACAAAGATGGAGGCACTGCCTGGAGCCACAGAGCTGGCTGGAGTGGGCGGGGCACTTGGCTTCCTTCGTCACCCCAGTGAAGAAGGAAGCCAAGCCTCCCACAAGCCCCAGCCGCCAGCCGAGGGCTGGCCTCTGGGTGGCGGCCATGGAGCTGGCTGGAGCAGGTGGGAGGCGGCTCTAGCCCAGAGCGAAGGCGGGAGGCAGCAGCCAGAGCAAAGGCCTGGGCCGGCCTCTGGGTGGCGGCCACGGAGCTGGCTGGAGCAGGTGGGAGGCGGCTCCAGCCCAGAGCGAAGGCGGGAGGCAGCAGCCAGAGCAAAGGCCTGGGTCCCGGATGCCTGAGGGAAGCCAGTGCTGGCAGCCAGGGGAAGGAAGGCCTATTCTTGCACAAATCTTTGTGCAACGAGCCTCCAGTTTATTTATATTTGTTTTCCCCCAAATGAAGTAATTTATACCAAGTGGTTTTAAAAAATGCTCACAAATCAAGTTAGATCCCTATTTAATATGTTGCTATAAATATTGAGCTATTCTGGCTTAACAAAAGCACACTAGAGTGAAGAAGCATTCTGCCATTTGGCCTATTCTTGCACAAATCTTTGTGCAACGAGCCTCCAGTTTATTTATATTTGTTTTCCCCCAAATGAAGTAATTTATACCAAGTGGTTTTAAAAAATGCCCACAAATCAAGTTAGATCCCTATTTAATATGTTGCTATAAATATTGAGCTATATAAGGACTAGCAGGTAATAAATGCTCTCCCTACAAACATTAGTTCAAGACATTGTTAATAAGTTCACCTCTATTATCTTTCAGACTGCAGCTTCATTAGTAGTGTTGTAATACCCAAGATGATTCGTGTGGGCTTGTCAGCTTGATTTTTGCTCACATTATGGCCTTTATTTTGTACTATATTGTTTAAGGATTCCTCTGGGACAGCGGTTTTCAACAGTATGCTACAATAATTTTTAAAACATGCAATACCTGACTATTTAGTCAGGAGTACTGACCTCTTTTCCTTTAAATTGTCAAATGAAAAAAAAATAACAACAGCCAACACAACAATAACTGTCCAGTGTGAATGAATCAAAATACTTTGTGTGTGTGTGTGTGAGTGTGTGTGTCAGATTGGCAAAAAATGTTCTTTTGGTGTGTTGAAGAATTTTAGTAATTAGTTTATGTGTGCTATGAAATGAAAAAGGTTGAAAATTGCTGCTCTGGGGCATAGTGGATCCCTTTGTTGGCCAGGCAGACACTATTCATTCTGGCTTAACAAAAGCACACTACAGTGAAGAAGCATTCTGCCATTCATTGTGTACTCTACAATTTTGATGTTGGTCTATAAAGGCTAAGATTTGTCAGATTTAATTTATCTTCTCTAATTTCCTATCAGAGAAAATGTGACACCAGGCATAGATCCAATTTTCTTTTCTATTAGCATTTATATTGATAGAATTAATGATTTTATTATCATCTTTGGCTTGTTGCTAAATTGTAGACATCATGTGCCTTCTTGTGGATGGTCACATATATATTGTAAACTCATTGTCCCAGGAGGAATTACATTGTATTAGATTTTATGTGGTGAGAAAAGAAGTCAGAAAGTACTGGAAAATGATAGTGTTCCAGAATAAGAAGAGATTAATATTTTTTTCTATATGAACAATGCATCCAAATGGATAGGCTGGTAGACTCTAAGATTCTTCTAGCAGGTTGAATTGTAATGCTTCTGATTCCTAATAATTCTATGGAACTGGAACATTAAGAAAGTATAAATCCTGCATTTTCACTATCCAAAAAATATTGGAATGGAACTATGAACCCCCATTGAATTTGAAACAAAATTAATAACATTAGGGTGTGGTATACCTTGCATATATGTCTTACCTTTTGGAAGAGAACACCTTCCAAACTAATCTAATCATGTAGATGATTAAACTGTGGTTTACTTATTAACTTATTTCTCAAATATTCAGGTTGGAGCGTTTCAAGTCCCTATTCATGAATAACTTACTCATTATTTAAGTGAAAGTGAATTAGTTGTATGGTTTTATGGAGAAAAAATACCATAATGTGGCACTCCTATTTAATGTATTTCTTTTCTTTGTTGGCTATTACAATGAAGCACTTCCTGGTAGTCACCTTAACATTTAATAGGGGTCTCAACATTCTCAAAGTTACAGTGGTTATATATTAGAAATCTTTACATCAAGATAAAGCTAGGACATTTTATCATAAAATTTTATTTTACTTTTTAATCTAATGCATTGATAAGTATATTTAAATATATTTCTCTACTATTTGTAGTAATGCAAAATTTAAAAAAGGAGACCAGTCTGTTTGTATTTTATAAGTACAGGAATAACCATATTCTTGCCACAATTAAAGTGAAATGGGGATATATTCATGGAATGTAATTAATATATTTAATACCCAAATACTGTCTATATGCAAATTCCATGTCAACATTTTCTAAATTATATACACCCCCTGAGACATGTATAACTAACATTATGATTTCAGTGTGGTGAACCAAATCAACCACTCCAGAGAGTTTTAAAATGAATTTCTAGAGACATTGAAAAACAGAGTCTGTATGTCTATTACCATTCACATCTATTGCTTACGATTTTAAATCAAAATAATAAAATAATAGAATAGAACAAAATGAAATAATCATACAGGAAATATATTAGCTGAGGGAGGGGGAGAGAGAGAGAGCAAGTGCACTTATTATAAAGCTGGCCCACTCAAATAAAAAGAAAACTAGTAATTTAAATATTATGTACTAAAGCAATTATATCAAATGCTCCAAATTGTCCTTTGCATACAGAGTCCTAGTTAAGGACTGCTGACTGGGAGTCAGAAGACTCAGACCCTAAGTCCCCTTCTTCTTTCAATATATTGACTATTCTGAAAAGGTAAATACAATGTAATCAGAAGCTGGAGTTTCAGCACAGTGCACTTGTAAGCCCTTAACCTCTTTGAAATCCATTTTTCTTATTGGCAAAGCAGTAAAAATAACAGGTATTCAGTATTGTGCAGGAATCAAACATGAAATTAAGGTGTAAATTGCAATGTTCTACCCAAATGTTCTGGTGGTAATGTCATTGAATTTTAAAAATGTGAATAGATACCCATTCTCATGCTTAAGCTATTTTTTGTATCTTTAAATTTCACTTACTGTTCATTGATAGCTACACAATAATACTTCTTTTAGCCGAGATAACAAGGTTAGTGGCTTATACAATGATACCCTTATGTGTTCCATTGTTCTACTTGACAGTAGTGTGTCTTAGAAAGATGCCTAGCCAGTTTGGAGTTTTTCTTTTGAATAGTCATTGAATTTGGACAGTCATCTTTTCAGGCATTATGTGAGTAAAAAGATAATAGAGTTACTTCATTAGCATGAGAAATTTCAGAGTGAAAAAAAGAAATAACACAAATTGTAGGAAAACATGTAATTATGTCATAGAAGATGAGTGAAATTCAAAGAAATCCTGACTCTACCACTTGGTTACTGCAGTTGAGGAAGAACCATTTAGATGTCCATGGTGTACTCAGGCAGTGGTGTTGAGGTCACTTGGGAGGAAAATCAGTCTGTAGGAGTCAAAAGGAAGAGTAAGAAGGCCTCTCTCCAGACCTCCAAGCTTCCATCCACAGGAGTGAAGGAAAGTCTCAGGGTGTAAGATATTCTCTCCTCTAGTTTCTACTTTTCCTAACACAAGGTGGTAGAGGAGGCCACTGACTATACTAATCTCATTTTTCTCAAAGAATTATGGCCTTGCCTCCACTCTGCCTTGAGTCCACCAGAAATAATATCAACATTTCTCTATTCTGATTATACAAATGAGGAAGCCCAAACTCCCAGGTCATCCCCATCTTCTACACTCAATGTCACTGAAGACCGTCTACACTTGCAATTCTCTCTTTATCGCTTAGCCATTCCCATTTTTTTTTCAGAATGATCAGAAGCAGCTGCCTTTAATTGGCTGGCACAGGACAGCAGAGCTCTCAGCTCGCAGCCAGAAGGCCTGACAGCTAGTACATGGTAGATTTTTGCAGTAACTAGAGTCAGGAGATGGGCACTGGTGAAGAAGGGTTGGGCATCCAGCCACTTGATACCAATGAGCTCTCTGCCAGCATCCGGGACACAGTGGGTGGGATGTTGAGAGGGAGCCAAAGTTCAGAACCAGGAGCCAACAAAACAGCATGGAAGGTGATTCAGGTAAGGCTGTCAATGAATGAATCCCGCATGCTGGTAACAATGGTGCTAGGCTGGGCTTCATTCAGCTTAAAGACACTCTCCACCTTCTGAAAGTCCTTTGGAACATACAGTACATTTGTAGAAAATAAATTCCCACATTTTCAAGCTTTTTCTGAATGTTCCCTTTACTTACTGCATGTTCCCTTTACTTCCTGCTCTAACAGCAATTTAAATCTTCCTTGAGATCGCTGCTTCCTCCCCAGTCCTTTCTCATACCATTATGCTGGAAAGTGGGTGAATATTGTCTTTGATACAAATTGCTGTTTCTAGACCATTCTCCCTCCCTCTTCTCTCTGACTCCTTATCTTTGAATATCATATACAAAACAATATCCATTACCTATGTTGTTGCAATGATATACCTATCTGGGGATCATAACCCAGCCACCCTATGCCAATGGCATTCTCTCTCTCTCTCTCTCTCTCTCTCTCTCTCTCTCTCTCTCTCTCTCTCCATAAATCCATCAATTTTCTTCCTCAGTCCCTTCATCTGATCTCCACATCATTATTTTCTTTTACTCCCCTCTCATCCTAATTTCTATTCTTACCAGCTTACATTTCTTAGTCAATCATTATATTTACTCCCTTGCACTCATCTTCAACTTTCTTGCTCCTTTCTCACTTCATTACCTCAGTTAGTTACACTACACTCCTCTGTGCCACACCTGTATAGCAGAATATGGCTGTTTCATTTTAATTTTTTTTACAGGTAAATAATTTTTATTTTCAAAGCTCACCAAAAAAATTAAAAATCCTGCTATCATTTACAAGATAGTCTTTTAGGATCTATGTGATCTAACTTCTTCTGGGGTTTCAAGCCATTTATTTAACTATTAAAAAGTGCATGCAGTGGCAAATTTTGAGTTTTCAGAAACAAGTACAAAGAAACGTACAGTATGATTTGCTCAAATGTGTAGTAACTCTTGCTAGTCAGGTTCTCTGGAAACTCTTTTTTAAAAAATATTTTATATTTTCAGTTATCATTGACATGAAATAATATTTTATATTAGTTTCTTGTATACAGCATAGTGGTTAGACCATATACTTTACAAAGTGATCACCCCAATATTTCAAGTACCCACCTGGGACCCTACATAGCTACTAAAATATTATTGACTATTTTCTCTCTGCTGTGCCTTTACATGCCCCTGAGTACTTCTTAACTACCAATTTGTACCTCTTAATCCCTTCACCTTTTCCACCCAGTCCTCCAACCCCCTGTGCTCTGACAACCATCAGTCAGTTCTCTGCATCTAGAAGTCTGTTTCTATTTTGTTTGTTCATGTATTTTATTCTTTAGATTCCACATGTAAGTAAAATCATATGGCCTTTCTCTACCTGATTTATTTCACTTAGCACAAGAAATAACTTCTAGTTCCATTCATGCTATGGAAAATGGTATGATTTCATTCTTTTTATGGCCAAGTAATATTCTACTGTGTATATGTACCACAACATTTTTTTAAAATTTCTTTATTGCTTAAGGTATTACAAATGTGTCCTCATCCCCCCATTAACCCCCAACCTTCCCCCACTCCCACTCATGCTCTCATCCCCCTGTTGTCCGTGTCCATTGGTTTGGCTTATATGCATGCATACAAGTCCTTTGGTTGATCTCTTCCCCTTACCCCCACCCTACCCTACTTTCCCTCTAGGGATTGATAGTCTGATTGCTGTTTCTCTGTCTTTGGATCTGTCCCTGTTCATCAGTCTATGTTGTTCTCTATATTCCACAAATGAGTGAGATCATGTGGTATTTATCTTTCTCTGACTGGCTTATTTCACTTAGCATAATGCTCTCCAGTTCCATCCATGCTGTTGCAAATGGCAAGAATTCCTTCTTTTTTACCGCAGTGTAGTATTCCATTGTGTAGATGTACCATAGTTTTTTAATCCACTCATCTGCTGATGGGCACTTAGGCTGTTTCCAAATCTTAGCTATGGTGAATTGTACCACAACATTTTTATTCACTTGTCTATTGATGGGCACTTGAGTTGTTTTCATATCTTGGCTATTTTAAATAATGCTACAGTGAACATAAGGGTGCATATATCCTTTTGAATTAGGGTTTTGGGTTTCTTCTCATAAATACTCAGAAGTTGAATCACTGGATCATAAGACAGTTCCATTTTTAATCTTTTGAGGAATCTTTATACTGTTTTTCATAGGTGCTCCACCAGTCTGCATTCCCACCAACAGGGTGTGAGGGTTCCATTTTATCCACATCCTCAGCACCACTTCCTGTTTGTTGACTTATTGATGGTAGTCTTTCTGATAGATGAGAGGTGGTAACTCATTGTGGTTTTCATTTTCATTTCTCTGTTGATTAGTGATGTGGACCATCTTTTTTTCATTTATCTATTGGCCTCTGAATGTGCTCTTTGGAGGAGTGTCTATTCGGGTCTTGTGCCCACTATTTATTCATTTATTTACTTATTTATTTATTTAAACTTCAAACAAATTTTTATTACACAAAGGTCACATAATTGGATATTTGTACACAATTATTCTTACTCTCCACAGAAAGGCTGCTTCTTCACTTCTCATCAGGTGATGACAAACACTAAAATCCTGATTTTAACAGAATAGTAGTAAAAATGCCTCAGTGATTTAAGTTGAAAGCAGTATATTGGTACATGGCTCTCTCACTTATAAGGAATGTACAGATGTATTTTTATTAAAAAATACAAAATAAATTATCTGTAGGTATGGACAATGACAACAGTAAACAATTGTATGTTGTCAACTGAAACCAGTAACTGATGATTAGAGTGATTTGCTTGAACATCAGGCAGCCTTTTCTTTAGTCATTTTCTTCAACTGACCTCTCTGAAGTTATAGTTGTGGAGACTGCCATGAGCTTCCTCTCACAGTTCTCAGTAATGATGGTAAAGCACTATGTTAGGGCTAGAACATGCTGCCTCCCACCCCTCCTCCCATCCCACCCATCCCAGGGTCCTTCTCCTCTTTAGGAATTTCTGTGCCCACGACTTCTGCTGTTGTTAACAGAGGGGCCACACCAGCAGCATCCAGTAAAGCAGTTCTTACAACCTTAGTTGGATCAATGATTCCTTTTCCCACCATATTCACAAAATCTCCAAGTTTGGCGTCATAACCAATTTCTGAGGAACTCCGCATAATTTTCTCAACTATCAAGGATCCCTCAACACCTGCATTCTTAGCAATGGTCGTTGTAGCAATTTTTAATGCTTTCTTTATAATTTTCATACCAATTTTTTTTTGATCTTCATTAGTTGGAGTTAATGAGTCCAAAGCTGGAATCCACCGAAGCAGGGTACAAACCCCTCCCAGAACAATGCCTTCCTCCACAGCAGCTCAACCTGCATTCTTAGCAATGGTCATTGCAGGAATTTTTAATGCTTTTTAAAATAATTTCCATACCAATTTTTTTGATCTTCATTAGTTGGCGTTAATGAGTCTAAGGCTGAAATCCACTGAAGCAGGGTACAACCCCCTCCCAGAACAATGCCTTCCTCCACAGCAGCTCGGGTAGCATTGAGGGCATCTGTGACTCTGTCCTTCTTTTCATTCACTTCAACATCATTTGTCCCACCAACCTTCAGTACAGCTACTCCATGTGAGACTTTGGCCAGGCGTTCATTAGTTTTTCCTTTTCATATTCACTAGTGGTGATATCTAACTGATTGATGATTTCTTGAATACATTTTTCAATTTGAGCCTTGTCACCACAATTTGAGCCTTGTCACCTTTTCCTTTCAAGAGCATGATCATCTTTGGTCATAATGACCTCTCCAACTTTTCCTAAGTCGTGAGGCTGAACATCTTCTAGTTTGAGAGTCAATCCTTCTTCTCTAAACACTGCACTACCAGTAGCAATAGCCATGTTTTTAAGTTGGTTCTTTCTATTGTCACTAAAACCTGGAGCTCTGACTGCTACAAACTGAAGACCAACTTTTAGCGCATTCAAAATAAGTGTACTTAGAGCTTCTCCATCCACATCTTCAGCAATTATGACCAAGGGCTTACGGTGAGCATTGGCAATTTCAAGTGCAGGTATGATGGACTGAACACTAGAAATTCTAGAAATTTTTCCACTCAATAGAATGTATGCATCTTGGTATTCACATTTCTGACCTTTTTCTGTATTAATAAAGTATGGAGAAATATAACGTAGATCAAACTTCATGCCTTCAATAATTTCTAATTCATCATTCAGCGTTTTTCATCCTTTACTGTGATGACGCCTTTCCTTTCAACCTTTTCCATTGTCTCGGAAATTATGTTGCCAATTTCTTTGTCTCCCTTTGCAGGAATTGTAGCAACCTGAGCTATTTCTTCAGAGGTTGTCATAGGTTTAGACTGAGTCTAAAGTTCAGAAATTTCAGCATCAACAGCCAACATCACACCTCTCTTGATTTCCACTGGATTAGCACCTTTACTAATCTTCTCACAGCCTTCGTTGGCAATGGAGTGTGCCAGCACAGTAGCAATTCTTTGTCTCCCTTTGCAGGAATTGTAGCAACCTGAGCTATTTCTTCAGAGGTTGTCATAGGTTTAGACTGCATCTAAAGTTCAGAAATTTCAGCATCAACAGCCAACATCACACCTCTCCTGATTTCCACTGGATTAGCACCTTTACTAATCTTCTCACAGCCTTCGTTGGCAATGGAGCGTGCCAGCACAGTAGCAATGGTGGTGCCATCCCCGGCCTCTTCATTTGTATTCTTGGCAACATCTTGAACAAGCTTAGCACCAATATTTTTATATTTATATTTTAAGTCAATGGACTTTGCAATGGTTACACATTCTTTTCTTACTTTGGTACTTTCCCAGCTCTGTTCAATAATCCCTGTTCTTCCCTTTGGCCCCATAGTAATGGCTATAGCATTGACTAAAAGGTCTACACCTTGAAGTATTAAGGCTCAAGCCTCTGCACCAAATTTTACATCTTTGGCATAAGCCCAGGTGAGATGAGGAGTCAGTGCCTTGGACACGGGCCTAATCCGGCAAAAGACTGTGTGTAATCAAAGCATTTCTGCGGGGTGGCAGGCTTGCGGGCAGCGAGAGAAGGCTTATGCCCACTTTTTAAATTGGATTGTTCATTTTTTTGGTGTTGAGTTATATGAGTTTTTAAAAATATCTATTTTGGATATTAACCCTTCATTGAATGTATCACAGGCAAATATGTTCTCCCATTTAGTAGGTAGTCTTTTTGTTTTGTTGATGGTTTCCTTTGCTGTGCAAAAACTTTTTTAGTTTGATGCAGTCTCATTAGTTTATTTATTTTTTATTTCCCTTGCCTAAGGAGATACACTACAAAAATATTGCTAAGAGAAATGTCAGAGATTTTACTGCCTATGTTTTCTTCTGTGAGTTTTGTGATTTTGAGCCATGCATTTACTAGTAAGTCTCTAATCTATTTTGTATTTATTTAATACCATTTCTCAGTGTCATATGCTGCTAAAACAGTAGAAGATACTAAAATTGGAAATTGGATTTCTAAATAAGTTTCATGAAAGGCAAAACCCTACTTTGAAACATATAGTCACAATGCCCTTAGCTAATTTGATTCTCTTGCATTTATTCCCAAGAGTAAAGAGGGTAGGCAAATCACTACACAAACATAACATGCCTAACAGCCATAGGCCAAGCCCCAGTCAATCACATTCAGCAACCATTATTCCCTCCAGTTGGATGGTAACTAGAAGACGATGGACATGTTGGGTGGTAATGAGAGATGAGCTTGGAAAAATACAGTAGCTAGTTGATAGAAGGCCTTGGTTTTGATAAATGGGCATGGGATGATTCCGTTTCCTAACCAGATGTATGTTGCATATGGAAACAGTTATGACTCTCCAAGAGAAATTCATGTTCAACACTTCATTGTGCAACATTAGGAAATAATTTTTTTCAATATGAATTTTAAGTTCAAATGGATTACACTGTTTCTGCAATCAGTACAGAATACTTCACCATTTTAGACATTCTTAATATAAAGACCCTAAAGCATTGACCTTTCCTTGGTTCTACATTTATTAGAATCATCACATAGAAAAACATAAAAAGACTGAATAGCAGTATCAACACACCTTTTAGAATTTATTTATCTGAGAAATTCCAAACACTACCATCTTCAGACCACATTTCTCCCAAAAATTTAAATTCTATACCAGAAGATAAATTTACAAATGAAACACTAGGAATATAACAACAAATGTAGGGTTTAAGATCAAATAAGTGATATTTTAATAATAGAGATAGTGAAAAATTAAATCTTTCCAAAATCATGTCTGCAATAGAAGAAATGAAGCTTTTTTCATCTTACATCTATAGAACTCTGTTATGGTGACAAAGCATAGTTATATTTGAACAGTTGTGAAATGTCCATTAACTTCTCAAAATTTAAACTACTTGAATAAGTCATATTTGTATGATCATAATTTTAATTTCCAAGCAGATGGGTAGTGAGCCATTCTTTTCAAAGGATGATGATGACTTCAGCAGTCAGAGCATAGGTTCATGGGATAAAAGAGTTGGCAAACAGCACATCTGGTAGTTTATATTTCCTGGAGACTTCACACTTGTCCTTACTCTTCATCTGTCAGATTCAGATTTATTCTAGCAGAGCAGGTGCTGTTTTCCATATTCTTATGTAATATTTTATGTCTTTAGGGAGGAAAATAATATGATATGGCATTTTGTTGAAAAGCATGCAGGACATATTCCTGAGAGTCTATAGTTTCTTTTGCATCCTAGTGCCTTAGCTTCATATGGCACCTTAGCTTCAAGGAGCATACTTAATACTTACTTTTACTAGTATTTCCCCCCAGGTTTATGAGGGTATACTTGACAAACACAATTGCATATACTGAAAGTGTATAATGCGATGATTTCATATACTTGCTTTTATTTATTTTTTTAAAGATGTCTGGGTAGCCAATTTGCTTTTGGCCAACTTTTAGGCTAACCTAAATTATTTTCTTTCCCACATAACTCTGAGATTTTGAATATGACATTTTAAGTAGATTTTTAGTTTAACTGGTTAACTGCTCGGTACACTTATTACATTGCACTGTTATTATTTTGTAAACTACTTGAGGGCATAGCTCTAAATTCAGCACTTAGTACCATTTGTGACAAATACTATAGATTTCCAAATTGATTATCTAGCTTTATTGACTTGATCAACATATTTGCAAACTCTGTGTTGTTATTGCATAATCTGTATTCAGAACATGTTTACAAACATAGTGTATAAGCTACATATATGTCTGAAGTTGTAATATTTTCTTGCATTTTAATTGTTTTCCATTAAAAGCAACATTAGAGAATTTTTAAAAATTCCTATAAGTTCATCAGCAAATTTCTTTTATATTTTTGATTTATACTTGTGATTTAGGCAAAGGCTATAAAAAGTTTAGTTACAATATTTTTTATATTTTATGAGAAAGCAGAACATAATTTTCTTATTTTTTCATTGCAAATGTAATACAATCAGCATATGATTTTTTATTGCTAACTTAATTTTCTAATCAGCAGAATTCTTACTGGAATTTTGTTCTTTCTTCAGCCACAATTATAAGTGGTTACATATTTTATGGAATGATCTTTTGTTTAGATTCTGA